GATAGTTGGATACCTCACCAAGATCCTTCATGTCAAAGTGCTCCTTCAGCTGAGCTAGGGTGCTTTGATAGAAAGCCTGATTCTTCCAAAACATCAGAAGATCATCAACAAAACATAAACAATACAGTTTGTTTTGCCCCTCCTCCTTGACAAACACACATGGATCAGCCTTGCCCTGGTGAAAACCTAGAGAAAGCAACGTCTCAGTGAGTTTTGTGTTCCAACACCTGGCACTCTACTTGAGACCATATAAGGATTTCTGCAGTTTACAGACCATTCCCTTCTGTATCTGCATCCCGTCAGGTGGAAGCATGTACAGCTCCTCCCCCAAAATCCCGTACAAAAAAGCTGTATTAATGTCATGATGGGAAACATGCAGTTTCTCGTCCGCAGCGATCTTGAGCATCAGCCGAATGCTCTCATATTTGACGGTGGGAGAGTAGGTCTCGTGGTAATCCTGTCCTGGTACCTGTGAAAAACCTCTGGCAACCAATCTGGCTTTGTGTCTGACAACCTTGCCATTCTGGTCTGTCTTGGCCTTGAAGACCCATTTGCTGCCAACCAGTCTCATCCCTGGGACTACCGGTACCAGTTCCCAAGTTTGGTTCCTATTCAAGGAATCAACTTCAGCCTTCATGGCATTAAGCCAAGGCTCAGCATCTTTAGAGGTTAACTCCTGAACCTCTTTGAAGCTTCCCACACCTTCTCTGAGCTACTAAGAACAGCAGTTGCCGTCTTAGCAAACTCATCAGCAAATCTCTTTGGAGGTCTGCCCTTCGTGGCTCTCTCAGACTTGCATACTAGACGCAAATCTTCTGGACTCATCTCCTCTTTCTTAGGAGAAAAGTGACCAATGGTGAACAGTGGTTCTTCCAGTTGGTGTGAGATGGTCTGACTGAGGCCTTTGCGCTCTTGTAGTCTGCTGTGTCATCACTGTCACCGACATCAGCAGCAGCGCCGCCCACTGAGCTGGAATCCGAACTCTGATCATCATCATCATCCTCAGCTTCCTCAGCTTCCTCAGCATGATCTGCTTTTTTCACATCACCTTCATCTTCCTCTGGGTAACTCTGGAAAATTCCCACATTCCCCCCCCCCCACTTAGGATTGTACTCAACACTCCTTGTGAACTTAATGGACTTAGAGTCAGTCATCCATACTCTGTATGCACCTTTTTCGTACCCCATGAACAAACCATGTGCCCCACGCTTCCCAAGCTTGTTGCTTTGTGGGGTGTGTACCCACATGTCAGAACCAAAGATTCTCATGTGCTTGACGCAAGGTTTCTTACCAAACATCTTCTCATAGGGAGTACAACCAATAGGTGATGACAATCTGCGATTAAAAGTGTAAACAAAATTCAACAGAGCCTCCCCCCAAAACTTATCAGGGAGATTGGCATCATGCAACAAGGTTTTCATTCCTTGCAGCAACGTTTGATTTGCTCGCTCCGCAAGCCCATTCATCCATGGCGATCTGGGCGTTGACAAGTCATGCTGGATTCCCTTCTCAGTCAGGAAAGCTTCAAACTGCTGAGAAGTGAACTCCCCGCCCCGATCAGTAAATAGACAGCCGATACGTTTACCGTGAACATTCTCCAACCAAGCACAGAATGCCTTGAACCTAGGAAACGCTTGTGATTTCTGCTCGAGCATAAACACATGAATGTACCTGGAAAAAGAATCAATTAGAACCATGAAGTACCTTGCTCTACCCAAAGAGGGCGCAAGTGGACCAACCAAGTCTGCGTGGACTAGCTGGTAGGGTTTGGAAGCCTGCCTGCTAGACTCCTTGCCTTTTGGAGCAACCTTCACCTTGTTCTCTGCACAAGATACACATTTCATGTGAAACTTACAGGGTTTGATGTTCAAACCCTCAACCAGCTCTGGCATCTTGGCCAGTGCCTTCCAAGAGGTGACAAAATCTTCGATGTGCATCGTGAATGCATCCTGCATGGAGAACTTTGTTAGTTTGTGCAACACAACAAGAATCAGCATTAGACACAGCAACAGCACTGTTGTCCTCATAAGTTAAACAGAACAAGCCATCCATAAACTTTGCATGCAAAATGTCCTCTTTGCCTTTTCTGATGACACAGATGCTCCTCTTGAAGGATATCTCAAAGCCATGCCCAGTCAGCTGTGGGACACTGAGCAAGTTGTCTGCAGCACCTGGTACAGTACATCTTTGATGGTAGTGTGCAGACTTGCCAGTTTCACAGTCCCTTCTCCTGCAATTCGTAACGTCTTCCCGTCAGCCAGGTGGATCTCTCCGTCTTGAGGCTTGAAGGAGATAAAGAGATGGCGGTCTTTCGACACATGGCAGGTACACCCTGAATCAATAACAAACCTGGCCTTGGCCTTTGGAGCAGACTTTTCAGCAAGCAAAACCTTGTTTTCCACCGGCGTGGGCTTTTGCAGCTTGCCCCCCTGCTCCTGGCCATCAGACTCACCTTTAGCCTTTGGTGAAGCTGTGCCAGCAAACAAAGCCTTGTTTTTCCCTGGCTTGGGCTTTTCACCCTCCCTCTGCTTCTGGCCATCTGCAGACTTCTGTCTCTGTTCACTTCTGGCCTTCCGGTATCTGTGAGGATGACCTTGGCTCCCATGAGAAACAGAGCTCTCTGCTGCCGACTCCTTGGCTCCCCCTGGAGGCTGGAATGCTGCCTGGGATGACTTCACAGTCAGCTCCCCCTGCAGCTTGCAACCGGTGCCCTTGGCATCCCTGCATTCACTCGCATTCTGGGAAACAGCCAGGACCTCCGATGCAGTCAAACTCTGGGCTGGGATGACTGACAGATGGGCTATTTTCAAAGCATTCCACATCTTACGTGCAGTCACGTTGCCAGCTAACGTTTTAATTTCCTCCAGAGAGACGGACAAGACTATTACGTCCATGGCCCTCGAATCCTGGGCCCTCCATCTATCTGTCAGAGGAACTGGAGGGGCCTCACACACAGTATGCCACACTCCAAACTGTCGTAGTAAACTTTCACACAGCCCAGGTCGCATAATTGTGGCCATTTAGCTTTGGGCACTCAGCAGCCTCAGAAGCCTGGAAAAACTCCATTCCAGCTTTTTACTTGAGCCGTGAGTCTTTTATGCCTTCAAAGACTTCTTATCTCGGCAGCTCATAAATCTAGGCCTCTGCTTGGCTCGACTCCCAGACCAATTAGGCCAGCCGGACATCAAAGGGACTTTGCCGCGGCAAACGAAAAGCCTCACTTTCGCTTTTCCTCCACATACCTCTCAGCAGTCCGTCGCAGTCTTACTCTCCTGTAAGTGCCGTGAATCTGGGCCTGAAACCTGTTGTTGGGATACTGCCAGGGAGACAAAGTCCATCATGGCCCCAAGCCAGCTGCCGGACGTTCCATCGATCTCCCGTAGTCACGCAGTATCAGCAATTAGTGACACGAGCTCTAGAAAATAGCTTGCCACATTCCAGGGCTGGTGCACACTCTTATCAGCAGATAATGCACAGCAAAAGATGCACGCAGGAGAGCATATTTACAAGTTTATTCAGCGTTGGTCAGAACAAAGAAAAACATGACCGCCTGCTTCAGCGTTCAGGCACGAAGAGAGAAACGAAAGCAAAGACACAACAGAAACATCCTGTGAAACAGGAAATACGCAGGCTGTGACACAAACATCCTGCTCCCTTTTAAGGTGGAACGGAAATATCCTAACAGTGAAGACGAGCACCTGTAAATGCAGTGAGCACCCATTAGGGAAGCCATGGCCCTTGTGTGTCTGCCCCATGCCACCAAATCTTCCTCCAAAGGTTAACAGCATTCACTACGACATGTAGTAGATATGCATTTCCTGCATAGTGGTTCTAAGTATTCAACAGTGTAGTACAGCTTTTCTCAACCTTTGGTCCCCAGCTGTTGTCCAACTACAACTCCCATCATCCCTATGTTATGTTGGACTACACTTCCCATCATCTCTGACTACTGGTCCTGTTGGCTAGGGATGATGGGAGTTGTAGTCCAAGATAACATAGGGATGGTGGGAGTTGTAGTCAAACAGCACCTGGGGGGGCCAAAGGTTGAGAAAGCCTGGTACTGAGTATCAGTCAGAGTCCCATTCCCCACCCCGCCCCCACCCCCGTGTTATGTGGCATAAGATTTGCATGGCAAACATTCACTAATATAACAGAAACGAAAATACAGAAATTTTATCCTTTCTATCCTACCTAAAACAACTGCAGTTTTGCTGTTGGTCAGTTTGTTCAATAACATATTTTTCAGTTAATTATTCCATCACTGTAATATATGATAGGAATATCCAAGGCCTAATCTAGTTGTGATGAAAAGCTATGGGGATTTTTCTTCCATTTTTTAAATTTTTTATTTTACCAATAGCATCTCCCCCTCCTTCCCAGTTGCTTTTCTTTATGCAGAGGAAGAGATAAGAGCAGCACTGGGTGTGTGGGTGTGAGTGTGGGTGAGAAAAGCAGCCACACCCTCTGGCACAGGTGCCAACTCTATGGGGATGAGACCCCACTGTCTTGAGGGGCTGGGCCCTCTGGGCCTCTCCGTGGCGGCAGAAGGCCTCGTTGGGACTACCGCCTGGCGACAGACCTCCCTGAGCCTCATGGCCTCCTCCCGATGTGTGTGACTTCACATGTGTGAAGTCACGCGGAACCCAGTCACGCAGAACCCAGTGCCTCTGCCCTCTGGTAGTCCTCTGCTCTGAAAAAATGTGTGACATTTCTAGAGGTGAGCAGGGTCCAAGTGTATGCATTTCAACATCAGTATTCATAGAACAGTTTGATTTTGAGACCACTGAAATCCTGTTGTTGTTGAATTACCAGTGCTACCTGGCAATAACAGCAAATGAGATTGTTAGTAAAAATAGAAAAATAGTGCAAGGAGGCCATAGTGTTCCATATGCAGCTTGTATTGTGTACCATGTGTGGTGCTGTCCATCTGTTTTTAAATATGTATTTTTCCTAGTGCTATTTTTAATAAAACCAATCTATATATAAATGTCACTTCTTAGGTACTGTGAACCCCACCAAATGTTGCTGTCCTTTTGCACTGAAGATGGCAGCATGTCAGCTCCTCCTGGAGATCACCACATTCCTTCGAGAGACCTTTCCCTACATGCCCAGGCCGCGGACGGAGCCCCTTGTGGTGAGCAAAAGGCAGGAATTTACTTTGGAGACAATCTGACAGGGAAAAAGAAACAATAAGCACAAGTTGCAGAATTGGAGGGGGAAACCAGAAAATCAGCTGAGTAGCTGAAGAAATCTATTGTTAAATTCTTGTCAGGCTGCCAGAAAGGCCCCTCCGTCTGTTGTCTGATGCTGTAAGCAGACCGGGCACAATGCTTGCAGTGATTAACTTTATTGCTCCGAGGTCAAAGAGTTAGCACCCAGCACTTCCATCAGTTAAGCAGGTCAGTTGCAGAAGCTAAAGTTCCTGCCCCTTCCGTCCCCTATTCATCCTCCCTCCACACATTTTTTTCATTGTGACTCAGCTTTTCTTAACTGTTTCAGCTTTTTCTGGACTCTTCGTTCCTGTGCTGAGGGTGGGGATGGGGAACTAGTTGGGGATGGGGAACGAGCTGTATTGCAGAGCAGGAGACACAGCTCCTTCTCCTTCTCTATCAGTGTCTGTGGCTACCTGCCTCAAGACTCTCCCTTTCACCAGCACACTCTGCCCATGATTCCTCTCTGTCCTACCAGTCTGAACCTGGCTCAAAGTCCCCTTACCCCACAGGTGCCTGCTGGACCACTGGCTGCCCCCACTCTTCCTCATCCAACCAGTCCCTGACAATTCATGAGAAGCGAACAGACTCTCTCACCCACTTGGCGGGTGGGTGGTTCAGCGGGAGAGGAGGAGGCAGAGGACTGGAGGGGCAGCATTTTCTTCTTTGCCTCTAGCAGCAAAATGACCTGGGCCAGCCCTGATCAGTGTGGTGTAGTACTTGGAGCTAGGGAAACCTGGATTCAAATCTCTGCCACACTGTGAAACTCACTGGCTAACACTGGGCACAGCCATCATCATCTTCATCATCATTATTATTATTTTAGTTTCTACTCTGACTTGCAGGGCAAGTGATCACAACAGCAACTTACAATAAACATGTGAAAAGCAATGCAACATTGCATAAGTAACATTTAATAAAAACAGTATCAAGTAAAGTTATATATAGGTGGCTGGCAATAAAATGCATTGTCAACTTAACCTATTCCTTGTGGTTACTACCAGGGTAAATTGAGATTGTCCCTATGTGCACTGCTCTAAGCTCCTTGGTGAAACAAGTGAGAGGTTAAGAAGATACAAATGGAGAAAACAACCTTTCTGATTGAGTTTATTGGTCTTTTCCTTAACATTAGAATAAAACTTGGCACCCATGATATTCACGTGCTTCTTTGGTTCATGTAATATTTTAGGACCTGGAGAGTTGCAGGTTGCGTTTGGACCCTGAGATGGATCGGCACAGGTATGAGAGGAAGATCAGCTTTGCTGGGGTTCTGGATGAAAATGAAGATTCAAAAGATTCCTTGCACAGCAGCAGTCATACCCTGAAATCTGACACAGGTTGTGAAGAGAAGAAAGGTTTGTTGCCTACTAAAGCTTCAAACTTTTTCCAGGTCTATTGTTTAGAGCTGGACTTCTATGTCCTAACTTTCGAAATTCTTTTAAGAAGCGGGAAGCTATGGAGCCACAAGGCTGAACCATCACTAGCCCCAAAATATGTTTACTCTTAAGGCATAACTCACTGTGGTTGCTAAAGCCAGCAGAGTGTCTATCATTGTAATGCCATTTCATGCACACGTGTGCACGCACACAAAAACAGCCTCTTGGTTCAAGTGTTGCAATACAAAATACAATTAACAGTTACTTATACAACACTATTTTGGACAATAAGTAATAGTTCAGGGTATGAGATGTAGCATAGAAAATTAAGACAGCAAGCTGTTTACTTTTTTGAAGTCTCACAATGTAGAAATTAGGGATTTCAAAGGAGCAGCAGGCTTTGCTGCCATGAAGAACCGTAAGTCTTTGGAGACACTGACTATATTATTTGGCTGCTTTCTTGAGACTCCAGCAAGTACCTGGCAAATCACCCTTCCTAGCTCGAATCTGTTTGAAAACCTGGTTTCCAAACATCCTGTCTCTTTCGTACACTTCTGTATATGACAGATGTCTGGTGCACAAGATAACGAGGCAGCTATAATTTGTTCCTGCCTATTGCTTCCAGTCATCCCTGCCATGATTTCTGTCCTTCCAAGATAGCAGAACCCCACTTAGAAGTATATAACTCAGTCTTAAACTCCTCAGCACGGGACTTCACAATGCATGAAACCAGATGCAGCCCTTGAACCATATATGCTGACACTGCCCCTGCCCCCTGTCCAAGGGCTTGATAAACCTGCCTTGGGAATTGCAGAAACAGGGTTTGCTCAGCTTATTAACTCACAAGTTGTACAGTCCCGCCCTACAATTCTCAACATATTTAGGTGGAAGTAAGTACTTAAGTAGAGTACACTTTCAAGTTAATGCTTAAGATCTCCACCAGTGTAGGTTCAAATATTCTAAAACTCTCCATGAGTATGGTTGCATGGAGTAGTAACACCAGACTCAGCACTACCATGCTGATGAAACACCATTGCCTAATAGTGGTTTGTGTAAACACGGAAACCCATTTAATACCTGTTGCATTTGGGCAGATCACCAGGAAGCAGTGCTTGACGAACATGGTCATCCTGGTCCAGACATTACTTCTTCCACACAACTGTGGCCATGGAGATGTGTCTCTAGTTTCTTTGCCTCTGAACTGGCACAGTTAAGCTGTTGGCTTTGCCAGAATAGCTTTTTTAAACCAACAGAGAGATCCTGTTTTATAGCAGTGAGCAATGAATTTCTCTTATTTATTTGTTTTTTGTCACAAGTCTGTTCATTGTAAATTGATTGAAAGCATCACTTTGCCTGTGATTGGCTTCTGATTTACATAGGAAATTGGTTTCTAATCTCTGTGAAGTCATCTTCTCTTGGCAGAATTGCATACTATATGTTTTATCTTTCTTTCACGTTAGTAGATACTGTTGATATCCTATCATCATTACAGATCCCCAATCAAATCAAGTAAAAGAACCCCAGGTGCTTCTTGCATTATGTTATTTGCATACATTACAGTTTTTTCAAAATCTGCATAACACCAATTTATTTAAAGATATAATTAAATATTCTAAATATAGCTACATTGAGCTGCATCAGTGGTATAGTATCTGTGTGCTTTTTACATTATTATTTGCAAATTCCTATGAGTCTCTACCATGTTTACAGATGTACTTGAAGATGACTTGCATGGATGAGTAGCATACACACCTATCTTTCTAATAGTCTCTTTGAACAATAGGTGTGCTATGGAACCTTTTTGGTCTATTTATTATCCACATCAGTTGTTCTCACGCAGCTCTCTATGAAGATACCATATGTAAAACCATACAGAGCAACAGTGCAAATTCAGTATGCAAATTATACGTGGCATGGCATAGCATTGCAGGTGTTTTGGGCATAGTCACATCATGTGAGTTCATATCGCAAAAGCAACACGGTTCAGTGCAATATTATTTCTTTTACTAGCCAGAGAGAGGGGTGGGGAGATTTGTACCTGGTCAGATCATTTTTCCAGCCCAGACTTGTAATGGTTTTCTGAGGACCCAGGCAGTCGTCTTTCACAATCAAGCTACTTGTGATTTTCTCCCACCCCCTTTCTTCTTTTTTTGTTAGAGAAGCCCATGCTTGAATTTGGGACCAGAGCATAGGCTAATATGATAGAGACTATCAGTAGTAGTGACTTGTATGAGTTTCTGGAGGTTTGCAATACTCAACTCTACTTTGAGATGAGTTCCATAGCCTCTGAATTATTTTCCAGCTCAGGTTTTAATCTGAGCTGGAGAAAAAATACATGGGAGGGAAGGAGCAGGATTTTGATTTCCTCAGAAATAAGTGGAACTTCCTCATGATTCTGAGGGAGTGACTGATGTGAGCTAGGAGAAACTCACCCAGTTCAGTACTAGCCACTAATTCTCCTGAAGGCATCGCAACACTTTCTGTGTATGTGATTCTGGAAATGCAGCCAGATTTCTAGAATCTAACTTTCCCATCATTTTAGCATTGAATTTTTCTCTTCCTAGCATAGCTGCTCACATTGTTTAGTTCTGAATTAATTATCAATTGCCTATTTTTACTAAAATTACCCAACAAGGCAACATAAGAATAGAAAGTAACAATAACAATGTATATAATGTAAATTCAGTAAAATAGATCAGTTCAGCAAACACACATCAGAATGTAATACAATCATGCTTTCAGTAAAAGGAGCTTTAATGTGTTGCTTAACAATTGCTAAAATGCAGTCCCATGTAAAAAAAACCCTGTTCAGAATTGATTTTGTTGTGGCACAAGGGATTTCTGTATGTAAGACTAGATTGCAGATGGTAGATTGTTAGTAAGATGCTTTATGACACTTTGGAATTGACTATGATGAACATATTCAATTGTTTTATAATTTAAATTATTCTTTTCTCAAATTTAAAGGTAACAACATTTGCAGATCTTGACAAAGGCATCTCTTGTTATTGTTCAGCTAAAATCTGTTATCTGATTTTTCTCATCTGCAGTGACAAGGACAGGCTTCAAATCACTTTGAAAACCATTAACCTGTTTCTTCCTTTCACACAACATTCACCTCACTTGTATGATAATAACTTTTCATTGATTGGGCAACCAAGGTGTGTTTTTAAAACTATGTAAAAGCTATGTTTTTACAGTCACTGAAAGGTGGGTCCTAATGTAGATATACTAGTTAGGGCTAATTAGTAGTCTTGGAAAATATATTTATTATTGTGAACTAAGCTGTGTACTTTACTACCACAGTGTTGTCTATTGTAGATTATTTGGGGGAAGTCATGACCAGCTAGTATAAATCCTGCACAGCATTGCAAGACTGAGTCAATAGATGACATTGCATGTCATACTCTCGCTCCCATTTTTTTTAAATTGTTGTTTTTTTGGTCTGGATAAATAGGAATAACAGTGACATATTTTGTAAGGTTGTTAGCCAGTGCAATGCAAATTATAAAGCAATTGGAGCATTTTACATTCCGATCAGCATACAGAGGACTATAAGTTTTACTCAGTTTGTTGTGCCTTGCTCATATTAGTGTCTGCAGGATGCTGCTGTTGTTCTTGTTGTTGTTCTTGTTGTTAACATGTTTCCTAGAAATAGTTTTTCATTACAGGTGATCTTAACCAGCACTAACCATCAAGCAAACTGGATTTTAGCTTCCAGTCCATCACAAAACAATAAAGACTTCTGCCTTGTAGTTTCTTAAAGTCGTTGCTACAAAAACCTTTATCAACTAGACATGACTTTTTTAGGAGTATCAAGTCCTCTTTACTTCATGCATCAGATGAAGAGGACTGTGGTCCATAATGAATATTTTAGGTTTTTTAAGGCACTGCTCAAAATTCTTTGTGATTATCTCTCTGGCAGTGTATCACATGACCTGTTTCCAAGTCATTCAAAAATATTCCCCTAATTGTGGTAGCTCTAAAATGCAAACACAGTTAAATGCAAAACATAACTAAGACAATAATGCTAGAGCCTGGAACACCTCTGAGCAGAACTGCGCATTCAACATGGCAGAGTGTCAGTGTGTCTAGAAATCAGAAGGATATTCCCAAACCCATTTTTGGTTGAATTTAGACATATCTCTTCTCACCACTGCACATTTCTCTGGCCTGCCCCTGCTCAAAAAGTGGCAGCTATCATTTATCTACATTGCACCTGTGCAGTATGTTCATCTTAAGTAGATTTTCAGTTAAGTGTTGCAACATTTGGACTTGCATAATGTCATGTACTGCCTTAAAGCTGAGTGGAAAACAATGTGTAAATGACTGGTGCTTCAAACCATTCCATATCTTTGTGCTCATTTAAAAAAAAACACACACACACACACACAAAACCTCAGCATCCACAGATGTCTTTAACGCCCGAAAGCTGCTGAAAGGAGTTGGACTACATGTTATTGCTTTTTCTGTAAAATTTTGGTGAAGTTTAATATACAAAAACAGCGATCTGTTCAAAGGTAATACCGAAACTGGGCAGGCAAAGTAGACTCTTAGCTTCAGAAAGCAGGCTGCCTATTTACAATCATGAATGCTGCATGATTGAACACTGCGATTCTATAACAAGATTTAAACAACCTTCTGCTAGCAGGAGGATAGGTTTGCCCCTGGCATCTTGTCTACAACTCAGTCATTGGTAGCCAGCAATTGATGTAGATGCAATGGTGTAAATCAGGCATGGCCAAACTTGGCCCTCCAGCTGTTTTGGGGCTACATCATCCCTGACCACTGGTCCTATTAGCTAGGGATGATGGGAGTTGTAGTCCCAAAACAGCTGGAGGATAGAAGTTGTCTCTCGTCATATTGCTGAAGAATAAATCTGGAGCAACATGGGTTTTTTTGAGGGGGGTGGGGGGAGCACAAATTGTAGCTTTGGTTGTTTAGCTATGGGGTTTCCAACAGTGCCTCTTACACAGCATTTTCATGATACTAATGACTCAATTGAAGGATAATAATTAATCTGAGTAACAGGCAAGAAATACAGTGTCACATCTTTGCCAAGGTATCCCTTACTGGATGATTAATAGAGCTGCATTGGCATTGGCTTTGGAGGGAGCCTCTTGCAAGTCTTCCTTGAGAGAAGGAAAGGCTCTGCAATGCAGGATGGGGGGATGGAGGGGTAGGAATATAACTATATATATCTCTATATTTAAAATACAATTATAATTTTTAAATGGGGAAACCTAAGGGGGGAAAAGTCCTTTCTTATTCTTTTAATACAGTTCCCAGCAGGAAGATCAGGATAGGAGGCTCCCGCTTGCTCCAGATTAAAGGAACCCGCAGTTTCCGGGTGAAGAAAGGGGGTTCCCTGTCCAGCATTCGCCGGGCCGGCAGCCTAAAGAGCACCAAGTTATCACGTCAGGACTCAGAGTCTGAGAATGAGGAGCTGCAGCTGTCCCACAGCAGGGACACTGTCACTGACATAGGTAACATAGATGAGCTGGGCTAAAAAGGGAGCGGGATGATGAGGCAGCATCTTGAGCCTGGAAGCAACTTAAGCAGGTCTAGGGAAGTAGGGAAAGTGCTTGTAGGCTAGGCAGACCCTCCAGTTATTTCAGCTGAAGTAAGGAGAAGTTCACACTTTTTGCATGATTTAAATACATGGCAAGAGCAGAGATTGAGTCCTGCCATTGGTACACGAGGTAGTCAGATCTGTTCCACTCAAAGGATGCTAAGTTTTAAAAATCTAAACGTTTGGTGCATGGACTCACTATACAGGCATTTTCCTGACTGCCAACCCGATGCATGCCATGCTTAGAAAGGTATATATAAAAATACCATATATTATATATCTATATGGCATATATAATAGCTGTGGTATTTTATATATATACATATATATATATATACATATCTCAATATTATGTACTGTGCATATAGCTGTATATATACAATATGTATATATTATGCTGTGTATGAGATATAAATATATGTGTGCTCGTGAATCTCCAAAATATTAGTTCCCAAAGATTTCACATACAGAAAAGTCAGGAACAGATAAATCCTGCACTTGAATCTCCTTTACCCTTCTGGTCTCAGTGGCATTGCCCATGCTCTTTTCTTCCACAGGGAAATTCGAGTTCAGCCAGCTACATATTCATTTAAAGAAAGGGCAGGGAAGAACTAATTGGAAGTAAGCCATGTCTCTTACTAAGCCAATCCTAATGTTACAATCTCCAATACTCAGATTTTGTGCTAAAGGTCTGGCAAATTGGAAGGCCCATTTGGCAATAAATACATCCAGGTAACTCTGGGGTCAGAGAGAGCCCTCCCCCTGCCTTTGTCCTCAAGCTTTTGTCAGGATTTTTCCCCCTTTCATTCCCAGGCGTTTTAGAGTCCTTTGATGGGACCTCGTAGGGCTGTAGCCTGCATGCGGCAGCAGTAGTTACAGCAAAAGTGCTGCCGCTGCAGGACCATACATTTGGTGTTGTTTTTTAACCACAGAGCCCAGTCAATGCAGATCACTGAAACCAACAACTTTGCAGCATCTTGACGATGCAAGAATTCTCCTTCTCTTTACTTAACCCTCCCCTCTTCCAGAAAAGGGAGTAACGTTTATCCCTGATTAGTTGTTCTTTCAATGGCTGTTGTGAATTATGCTTGTAATTTCCAGCCCAGCGGATAATCGGGGCCATAGAAGAAGGTTGGGTTGGGAATGAGAATAAGGGGAAATGTCTGACATTTGTTGAGAATAGCCAATGTTACTCATCAGTGTTTGGCTCATTAGGCTGGTATGCTAATGGCATGTCATTTCTGGCACCCTTTAGGACATGTAACATTAAGAAACTGGCCTGGATTACAAGCATATACCATAGATTTTTTTTTAAAAAAAAAAAACCACAGGAAGCATGGAAAAAACCAAACTACTTGGGTGTATCTTTTTTCTTTTGAAGAAGGAAGCCCTTGGAGTGCAAGTGAACCCAGTATAGAACCTGAAGTATTAAGCAGCACAGGCACCGAAGAGAACTATCACCGGAATATGTCTTGGCTGCATGTAAGTAGAGATCACTGGCGAGGTCCTAGAATCTCAGCTTGTTGCACACAGAACTCACAGCTGATCAACAGGGTAGAGTTATATGTTTTTGGGCCGAATGGTGACCCCCCCCAGCTACTCCAGTGTTTGCTCTCCCCTTCACTGCCCAAAATTCCCATTGAGACAAGTTAAGGCATCACTTTTTTGGGACGCGGGTGGTGCTGTGGGTTAAACCACAGAGACTAGAAGGTCGGCAGTTCGAATCCCCGCGACGGGGTAAGCTCCTGTTGTTTGGTCCCAGCTCCTGCCAACCTAGCAGTTCGAAAGCACATCAAAGTGCAAGTAGATAAATAGGTACCGCTCCGATGGGAAGGTAAACAGCGTTTCCGTGCACTGCTCTGGTTTGCCAGATGCGGCTTAGTCATGCTGGCCACATGACCCGGAAGCTGTACGCCGGCTCCCTCAGCCAATAAAGCGAGATGAGCGCCGCAACCCCAGAGTCGGTCACGACTGGACCTAATGGTCAGGGATCCCTTTACCTTTAAGCCATCACTTTAAGAAAGTGTAAACCAGGCTTCCTCAACCTCGGCCCTCCAGATGTTTTGAGATTACAATTCCCAGTGTCCCTGACCACTGGTCCTGCTAGCTAGGGATCATGGGAGTTGTAGGCCAAAAACATATGGAGGGCCGAGTTTAAGGAAGCCTGGTGTAAACCCCCAAAGGAAAGAAAGGTAAAATTAAGTCGTTCCAGACCTCATGGCCAGATGTAAGTCAGCAACAAATCAAGTCTCATAAGTTTTTCATTCATTAAATATAGTATTTTTTCCGCACATTGAATGCTGAGCTGAGCTTATTTTGCTTTTCACTGATAAATTAATTTATAGCTATATTCAATATTTTCTTTGTGGTCTTTTCTTGGTACAAACATAGCCCTGTATCTCTACTGAAATATCTGGGCATACTTTTTGTTCCAGGTGATGATACTGCTATGCAACCAGCAGAGTTTCATTTGCACCCACATTGACTACTGCCACCCTCACTGTTACCTCCATCATAGTCGCTCTTGTGCACGCCTTGTCCGAGCCATCAAACTTCTGTATGGAGACACTGTGGATTCACTCAAAGAGAATAACTTGCTAAACAATGTGGCTAGGAGCAAAAAACAGAAAGAGGTAAGCAAGCTGACAAAATACTTCTTGGTTACACAAGCATTTATTCCAGTTAACTTAGCTACCTAATGCATATTAAACTATTGCATGGGCATTTCTCAGCTTTTCATAGCATGCTGGCCAGGGAAACTTGTACTAGCATGATATTTGGATGTGAGATCAGGTTGCAGAAAAGGGAGGGTATTTCAGCTTATCTCATTCTCAGAAGTCATGTCACTCATGTCCTGAGAACCAAAGGGAAAGCTCCATAATTCATTTATTGTGTGTGTGTGTGTGTGTGTGTGTGTATGTATTAGTAATAGGCACCTTGTGAGATCAGTTTCCCCCAACAAGTAAGGTGGCCTCTAAAAACATTTTTAGAGCATTTCCCCCATCCAATTCTCTTTCAGTGTTCAGACAAGTCATGCCTGAGAACACCCTCCTTGAAGAAGAGAGTGACAGATTCCAACCTTGAAGGAAAGAAGGATTCTGGAATGCTGAAATACATCAGGCATCAGGTAATGAGTGTGTCACCTACAGGACTGACAGACTAGCTAATGGAACATCATTTTTTTGTCTTTAATATATGTGTCCCCTTGAATTGGGTGGTCCATGGCATGTCTGTGAAGAACCCTTTAGAAATTAAATTTCATGGAATTAAATTTGTAATGCAGTGAAATACAATATAAGAAATAAAATAAGCAATTAAAATATAATTAAAAACACACAGTGCATTATAATTGTTACAACAAACAGGCTGGGGGCAGAATCATTAAATGGTCCACCAAGGTCTTCAGCAGTTTTCAGGTGGTCCATGGTTGGTAAAGATTGGGAACTGCTAGATTAGGCCATTCTTGCAAGACTAAAAAATGCTAGCATTTTCTTCCTGTGCTGGTGTACTGGAACCAGGTAGGTTTAGCTTCTCTTAGTACTTGAAGGCAGGAGCTTTTAAGTTGCCTGATACGTTGCATGATTTGGCCCTGTGCTAGAGTCAGTCTTTTGGTCAGAGGTCATCAGCCATATAATTATGGTTTTGGATACCAACTTGAGATTTACAGGTGTTAATGTAATTTCTGTGGGGGTTTTTTCAGGCTTGTACTTCAGTGTCTGTTCATCTGTTTTTGCTATGTGTGCTCAGGACCCCTTTTTGTATTTTGGTTGACTTGCTGCTCTGGTTTGTCTGTATCTTGTGCTTAGCTTTGTGTGTTTTCCTCTAATTGGCCAGGAATTTTTCCTCATTCTTCTGGAGTCACCAATTTAATTAATTCTGTGGTTGTCTCCATTCTTCCTTCTGTTTCTGGTTGGCAGAATCATCTCCTTGGTGATTCCTTCTACAATTAATTCCCAGTGTCTAATTATTAATTAAAGTGATTTTCTTCAGTTAATTCCCTGAAGTAATGTTTGTCACTGAGTTGAAAGATATGAATTGTTTGGACTAAGTTGGTCAGCGCACAGCTGTAGGTGGCCATCCTTATACTCACTTTCACAGGTGCCATTAAAGTTCTATGAAGTTCTTTAGTCTCTATTTTGAATGCATCTTTTTTGGGTTCCACTGCTTCCACCCTTCATTGTTGTTCACTATTTGAACCACCCTCTGCCCAAACAGTACTCCCGGCTACCATCTCAATTCCCAGTTCCCATCTTTTTGATCCCAGCTGCCGTTTGAGTTCCTGCCTTTTTAATTTCATATACCATTATGCCATTGACTTCCACCCTCGTGTGTGCCCACGAATTGTCGTCCAGGTCCACTGCTGCAGCAGCAATGTGCAAAATTATTAAAGATAAGCCCACTGTGTCCAAATGTAAGCTGTCTTTGCTTCCTGGACCCCTGTAATAATCACAAGACTCTGTACCTGCAGAAATATTCTAAGTGACCCTGCCTGTCCCAGGGCACGGTTTTTTGCATGCATGCCCCTGGAAAGAATGTGTGTGATAGGTTGTATGATTTCACATCCACTTGTATGCATCACATAACATGGGAAAAGGTCTTTATAGTAGTAGGTACGTCAGTCTTAATTTCAGATTGTTGAGTTTGAGCCCCACATTGGGGGAAAGATTCTTGCACTGCAGGGGGTTGGATGAGATGACCCTCAGGATCCCTTCCAACTCTGATTCTATGAATCTCTTGATTCTATTAATACGTCCAGAATAGATTATAGTTTTTTTCAGACGAAGGACTGTGTTTTCCTTGTCAAACAGTTACTTGGTTTTAAAAATGCACTCATAATATGCTGTGTTGCCCTAGCACTGAACACAATATTTTTTAGCTCTGTATAAGAATACAAAATAGCCAGTGGCCTGGAAACAGATTCATTTGAGTTGATGTTTGATCATAGTAACATAATTAATATTGGGGTCAATAATAATAATAATTTATTATTTATACCCCGCCCATCTGGCTGGGCTTCCCCGCCACTCTGGGTGGCTTCCAAAAAAATATTAATGAAATATGTATTGGATTTAATGAAGGAGCTGCAAGTGAAATGTAATTTTCCTTTAAATTTCAGCGTTATAGAACAGATAAAGCTGTCTACAACCACAGAGAAGGAAAATGTAAAACAATATGAAATGATTCCATGTATAAAAACAATTAAAAATAGTTCCAGTACAAATGCAGATGGGATAAAAATCTCCACTTATAAGTCTTGTTGAACAAGGTTGATGAGGTGCAAGCAGGGCTTTTGGAGAATGCTGCATACTTAAACACTAGTACATAGTCCACGCTGAACTCAGCAGAACGTTCTTCGGATCAAGCATGTTTTGGGGCTATAAATGTCCTCTTACTTTTAATTGCTATTTGGCTCTGCTGTACAGCATGATCTCCTTTTCTGCAGGTGATGAGTTTGTCTCCAGCACCTTTGTCATTGTTAATTAAGGCAGCGCCCATCCTCACAGAAGAGATGTATGGGGACATCCAGCCTGCAGCATGGGAACTGCTGCTCAGTATGGATGAGCACATGGCTGGGGCAGCAGGTAAGAATGTCCTCTTCCTCTGGCACTCAAGACATTTTAAGTGGGCGAAACATAATTTTTGTAAAATTCTTCAGTGACAAGTCTTTAAAAATATGTTTTTGGGTGTGAGGCATTATAATGAGGCTATAATGTTTGTGATTGGACAACATTTAGCTTAGTAAGTCTACATTTGATGAAGAAGCAACAGAAACTGCTTTTGGAAAACCAAACCATTTTAATTTTCTGAAAATGTCAGGTAATGCTAAATAATAATTATATAGTATATCTCTTATCTGTTATATAACTGCAAGTACTTGCCAAACATTTTGAATGATTTCTTTGCAGTTTTACACACTTTATACTTGCCAAGCAAATTATATTCATTTATTCAAAATATCAAGTAATGTTACAACTTTTGAGCATCCCTCATTTTTGGAATTTGCAAGATGAAAAGTTCAACTTTCTTTACCAAGCGTGCAATATTAGTGATCCGGGTTTGGCAGTGGTACAGAGTCCCATAGCAGTTCCCCCCGCTCCCCCAGCTTTGGATCCTGGGAATTTTCTGTCCCCTGGATCAGTCGTGTTATTCTGATATTATGTGAGCCCTTGCTTATGCTACTACATGTACTAAGACAGTACACATACACACACACACCCTTTCTCTTCTTGCTGCATGTAGTATTCATGCTTTCCACACAGGAAATTTATAATGAGTGGCCCACAGTAGCTCCCCATTTGCTGCCAGATCTGCTCATAAAACAGCAGTTTCCTAACCATTTACTCAAAGAACCAATCAAAGGCATAGTTCTGAACTACATCCTCCAGAACTGCTTTTTAAAATTAAGGTGTCTCCCAGGTTTTCTTGTTTCTTTGTGAGTATGTCATTAAAAAACAAAGAATTTTACAGCAACACACACACAAACAAACAAACAAACAAACAAACAAACAAAACAAACATAAGAGGTTAAAAACAGATACGCACCATTCATGAAATATTTGCTTCCTGCAGCTGCCATGTTCCTTCTATGTGCTGTGAAAGTGCCAGAGGCAGTGTCGGATATGCTGATGTCTGAATTTCATCACCCTGAGGCAGTGCAAAGGTTGAATGCCATTCTTAAATTCCACACCCTCTGGAGATTTAGGTATCAGGTGTGGCCTCGGATGGAGGAAGGAGCTCAGCAAATCTTTAAGGTAAATTGTGACACTGTCTGGTACAATTAAGTGTTCGGGTTGTGGCACCAGAATACACCTTCAAAATCCTGTTTTGTTTTGTTTTCCTTTTTTAACTTTCCATACAACACATTTTTTAGACTTTGAATTTAGACAACCACTTACAGTAAAATAAAATAGAAATTAAAACTTACCAAGATGCAATGGGGAGAATATGAGACTCCCTTTATAATATGACTATAATTAACACTGTTGACGTCTTTAAGGAGTCTGAAACATTCTGTGGCAATAAATTGAACACGGGTTAAGGTCATGTGACAGCTCAGATTATCCCATTCATTATACCACATCTGATTTATTGGGAGTAGCAGACAAATGTAAGAAGATATGATACATACTCATATCCAGCTTTCTGGGAGCTAAGAGGTTATTAAGCTGCGTTAACTTCTGTGAAAACAGAATGACCGCTCCCCGCTTAAAACCGGGGGGCGCCCTTTGCGTGGACGCGTGCAGCCCCTAGATCTGGAGCGGCTCCAACACCATAGGCTTGGCTTTGCCTTCCCTCAGGTGGGATACCTGGAGGTCTCCGCCTACCTCAGTCAGTTGTCCAATCCCACCTGGGGGAAGCGTTGCCAAGGAGACCAGGCCAGGTAGGGGAGGGATTACCTGCCCACACAATAGAGGGAGGATCTTACCTGGGAATCCTCACTTGGCTCCAGAGCTTCTCCCACCCTACCCACCCTCAGTTAATGTCTTATTTTGCAGGTTAACTTTTCTTCACAGGTTTTGCAGGTTAACTTTTCTTCACAGGTATGCGGGCGCTGCTACGTTAAGGTCGCTGTTAAAGGGCCGGAAAGGAATTTCCCTGCATTGGCAGGTTTCGCCTTTCCCGTAGCAAAACGTCACAACTTTGGCGGTATCAGGCCTTGGGCGGAATCCTTTTGTCCATCTTCCTCTTTGCGGCGGCGATACCAGGGTTCCCCGTTAAAGGGGTTTTCTGAAGGGAGGCTTTGGCCGTACACCGAAAGGTCGTCATTGCTCTCCCCTGCGGCGGCGGCGTTACGGGGGCGGCTATCTCTGCTTGAACATATGTTCTCCAGAGCCGGCCCATCCCCCCCACACACACTGGATAACCCTGATGCTCCCTAGGTCCCCGGCTGGGGACCAGGGAGGGAGAATGCCCAATGCCTGAGCCAAGGTCTACCCACATTTGAAATTTAATAAAGTTGTGGCCAATTTAATCCCATAGCACGTTGTCTTGAGTCGCTATTCCACATGACGGGGGGACCGTGCAGGATCTGGGGACTCCGCCTGTCCACGCAATGCTAGACTAGATAGGCCTTTGGTCTGAAACTAGAGTGGATCCTCCTGGATCAAAGCTTTCTCCCCTATTGTTGTAGGTATAGGTGGCTGTGACACTGCGTTAGCCACACAGAGTGACAGAATATGCTTTGTAACCCTTCCTCCCAAGCTGAGGGAGTGTGACCTAGCTAAAACTGGCCGGACGGCTTGCTCTATGCTCTTAATCCCTTCATGCATTAATTAGAGTTAAACATAGAATCATAGAATCATAGAGTTGGAAGAGACCACAAGGGCCATCGAGTCCAACCCCCTGCCAAGCAGGAAACACCATCAGAGCACTCCTGACATATGGTTGTCAAGCCTCTGCTTAAAGACCTCCAAAGAAGGAGACTCCACCACACTCCTTGGCAGCAAATTCCACTGTCGAACAGCTCTTACTGTCAGGAAGTTCTTCCTAATGTTTAGGTGGAATCTTCTTTCTTGTAGTTTGGATCCATTGCTCCGTGTCCGCTTCTCTGGAGCAGCAGAAAACAGCCTTTCTCCCTCCTCTATGTGACATCCTTTTATATATTTGAACATGGCTATCATATCACCCCTTAACCTCCTCTTCTCCAGGCTAAACATGCCCAGCTCCCTTAGCCGTTCCTCATAAGGCATCATTTCCAGGCCTTTGACCATTTTGGTTGCCCTCCTCTGGACACGTTCCAGTTTGTCAGTGTCCTTCTTGAACTGTGGTGCCCAGAACTGGACACAGTACTCCAGGTGAGGTCTGACCAGAGCAGAATACAGTGGCACTATTACTTCCCTTGATCTAGATGCTATACTCCTATTGATGAGGCCCAGAATTGCATTGGCTTTTTTAGCTGCCGCGTCACACTGTTGGCTCATGTCAAGTTTGTGGTCAACCAAGACTCCTAGATCCTTTTCACATGTACTGCTCTCAAGCCAGGTGTCACCCATCTTGTATTTGTGCCTCTCATTTTTTTTGCCCAAGTGCAATACTTTACATTTCTCCCTGTTAAAATTCATCTTGTTTGTTTTGGCCCAGTTCTCTAATCTGTCAAGGTCGTTTTGAAGTGTGATCCTGTCCTCTGGGGTGTTAGCCACCCCTCCCAGTTTGGTGTCATCTGCAAATTTGATCAGGATGCCCTTGAGTCCATCATCCAAGTCGTTGATAAAGATGTTGAATAAGACCGGGCCCAAGACAGAACCCTGTGGCACCCCACTAGTCACTCTTCTCCAGGATGAAGAGGAACCATTGATGAGCACCCTTTGGGTTCGGTCAGTCAGCCAGTTACAAATCCACTGAGTGGTAGCATAGTCAAGACCGCATTTTACCAGCTTCTTTACAAGAATATCATGGGGCACCTTGTCAAATGCCTTGCTGAAATCAAGGTAGACTACATCCACTGCATTCCCTTCATCTACCAGGCTTGTAATTCTGTCAAAAAACGAGATCAGGTTAGTCTGACATGACTTATTTTTCAGAAATCCATGCTGACTATTGGTGATCACAGCATTCCTTTCTAGGTGCTCACAGACTGTTTGCTTAATGATCTGCTCCAGAATCTTCCCTGGTATTGATGTCAGACTGACTGGGCGGTAATTATTTGGGTCCTCTCTTTTCCCCTTTTTGAAAATAGGGACAACATTTGCCCTCCTCCAGTCTGCCGGGACTTCGCCTGTTCTCCAGGAATTCTCAAAGATGACTGCCAGTGGTTCTGAGATCACATCTGCCAGTTCTTTTAATACTCTTGGATGCAGTTCATCTGGCCCTGGAGACTTGAATACATCTAAACTAGCCAAGTATTCTTGTACTATCTCCTTAGTTATTCTGGGCTGTGTTTCCTTTGCTGAATCATTTGCTCCAAATTCTTCAGGTCGGGCATTGTTTTCTTTATCGGAGAAGACTGAGGCAAAGAAGGCATTGAGGAGTTCAGCCCTTTCTGTGTCCCCTGTTTGCATTTCACCATCTTCTCCTCTGAGTGACCCCACTGTTTCTTTGTTCTTCCTTTTGCTACGAACATACCCATAAAAGCCTTTTTTGTTGCTTTTAACCTCTCTAGCAAGCCTGAGTTCATTCTGTGCTTTAGCTTTTCTGACTTTGTGTCTACACGTGCTGGCTATTTGTTTGAATTCCTCTTTGGTGGTTTCCCCCCTTTTCCATTTTTTGTACACATCCTTTTTTAATCTTAACTCAGTTAAAAGTTCTTTAGATAGCCACCCTGGCTTCTTTAGGCACCTTCCATGTTTCCGTCTCATTGGTATTGCCTGACGTTGTGCTTTTACTATCTCCCTCTTAACAAACTCCCAGCCATCATGAACTCCCTTTCCTTTTAGTATTACTGTCCATGGGATCTCACCCAGCACTTCCCTAAGTTTTATGAAGTCGGCTTTCTTAAAGTCAAGAAATTGAGTCCTAGTATGCTTGGCTGCTCCTTTCCGCTGTATAGTAAACTTCAGAAGAGCATGATCACTCGCGCCTAATGATCCTTCCACTTCTACCCCACTAACCAGGTCATCAACATTGGTTAGGACCAGATCTAAAATGGCTGTTCCTCTTGTTGCTTCTCCCACTTTCTGGACAATGAAGTTGTCTGCAAGGCCAGTGAGGAATCTGTTTGACCTTATGCTCTTGGCTGAGTTTGACATCCAACAAATATCCGGGTAATTGAAGTCCCCCATTACTACTATCTCCCTTCCTTTTGCATGCTTGGCCATCTGTTCCAGGAAGGCATCATCTATGTCCTCCGTTTGGCTTGGGGATCTATAGTAAACTCCCACAATGAGGTCTCTGTTATTCTTCTCTCCCTTAATTTTGACCCAAATGCTCTCACTTTGGCTTTGAGGTTCTAAATCTTGGATCTCTTCACAGGTATACACATCCCTGACATATAACGCCACTCCTCCTCCTTTCTTGTCTGGTCTGTTTCTCTGAAATAGATTGTATCCCTCCATTATTACATTCCAATCGTGGGACTTATCCCACCAGGTTTCAGTGATGCCTATTATGTCATATTTAGTTTGCTGTACCAGGAGCTCAAGCTCATCTTGTTTATTTCCCATGCTTTGCGCATTAGTGTACAGACATTGAAGTCCATTAATCATTCCCCCGTGTCTCTTATTTAAGGATTTTTCCTCCCACCACTAGGTCTGCATGCTCTTTGCTCCATTCGGTCTATGACATTTGGATGATCATCTTCATCAATTGATAGACTCCTACCTTCAGGAGCACTGTCTCCCTCCCCCACATTAGTCAGTTTAAAGCCCTCCTGATGAGGTTTCTGAGATTTTTTGGCAAAAACATTCCTCCCAACCGTTGTGAGGTGCAGCCCATCGCTTGCCAGAAGTCCATCTTCAAGAAACTGCAGTCCGTGATCTAAGAATCCAAACCGTTCCTGTTTACACCATTTGCGAAGCCAGTTGTTCACTTCCACTATTTTTCCCTCTCTCCCTGGGCCACGTCGTTCAACTGGGAGGACAGATGAGATGACAATTTGTGCATTTAATTGCTTCAATTTCCTGCCCAGAGCCTCGTAGTCTCTTTTGATCTTCTGGAGGCTATTGCTTGCAGTGTCATTGGTTCCCACATGAACCAAGAGGAAGGGGTATTTGTCAGTGGGTTTTATGATTCCTTGCAGTCGTTCAGTTACATCTTGGATCTTAGCCCCGGGGAGACAGCACACTTCCCGAGACATCTTGTCAGGCCCACAGATCAC